TCGAGTTTAAAATTTATATAACTCGAATCAAATCAAATTGAAAGATTTTATAAAATAAATTTGACTTGACTCAACTCAAAAAAAGAGAGTCAAATAGAATTGATCTTTAAACTTGACTCGACTCAACTCATTCAGAATTCTAGAAATATTATTAATTAATAAAAGAATTTTGCAATTTTGTGATTACATTTGCATATTTAATATTTATTCTATATAAAAATCTATATTTATTTCAGTAATAATCAATTAGTAATTCTTTTTTTTTTATTTTTAATACTTATAAATTTTAGTAGATATGAATAAAAGTGATTTTAATTTTTCTGATCCAGTTATATTACATATAAAAAGAATATTAATTCTTTTTTTAGATTTTTTTTTAAAAGTAGCTTTCTTACTAATTGTCTTTAATAGTTTAAAGTCCTAATACAAACCTAAAAATAAATGAAAATTTAATATGTATAAGTTTAAATTTTTTACAAAATAAAGAATTTATCTGTTTCATTATATTAAAATATTGTTTAAATTATATTTCTTAATAATTTCACACAATTTTTGTCTTTTCTCATCTAAAGTTTTCAATAGAGCATTTGCTGCATTTCTCAATTTAATATATTCTCATATATTATTGTATTTTTAAAATTAGAAATCTATTCATTAAAAGTTAAAATTATTTTTTAAAATATCTGAAATAGTATTTTATTTAATATTATTTTGAATAGTAAGTTATTCTTAAATTAGTTATAGTTTTTTTTAAAAGTCCAACAAATTTGATGTTTTGTGTTTTTATTAAAGTAATTTATTTTCTTAATTAAAATGGTTATTAAACTATTTCTTTTTATCTGACATTATTAAAAGAGAATAAAGAAAAATAAAAATCAGATAATTGATCTAATTTTAAATAGTTAATATATTGATATATCAATATATAAATCAGATTTTTTAATATGTTACTATATATAAAATTAAAGATAATATTAATAAATATTATATCATGAAATAATATAAGATATTGATATAACAAGATTTTTTTACTAATAGTAAATTGGTATAAGCAAATATTATTATATATTATATTGATATATCAAGTTATAATTATAAGTAATTGCCTTATCTACTCTTTATTTTTTTTTAGGATCTAAATATCTGAGAATGTTCTTAACATCAATTTTTTACATAATCAATTATATCACTATTAGATATTCATAAGTTTTAATTTTAGCAGGACAAATATAGAGTATTATCATTATATTAGCTAGTTTATTTATCAGGTGTATTAAACATAATATACTAATTTGATTTTTCTTTAATAAATTCTAATGAGAAGTAATCCAAAAAATCGATCTCTTCATTTTTATATAATTTGTAATACTTCTTTTAGATTTTATTAAATAATCTGATTATCTCTGAATTCAATGTAGTAGAAATTATTTTTATTGGAGTATTAAAAGTTCACAATTCTTTTTGAAGCCTAAAAAGACAAATGAATCAACAACAGAATTAAAGACAATTTTAACTAAGATTCTACTTATTGCTTTTATTTCTTTTTCACTAAGTTAATCTTACATAATATACTGAGCTGTTTTTTTAATAGTTTTCTCAAAACAAGTACTATCAAAAACTTAAACATTTATTTACTTCTCTTTCTTCTGATCTTTCTTCTTTAGAGAGTGAATTTGCCTGATTCTCTAAAGAGAAATTAATATAAATGTCTGTTCTTTACTAAATTTATACACTTTTTGAAGATGATTACAGACTTACTTGATTATAAACACTGTTAACTTATATTTGAATTCATATAACAAATATTGTGTTGCCACGGCCTTTTATCAATATAAGAAAGCTCAAACTGTACAAAAAAGAAAAGGATTAACTCGTTAAAAAGTTTCAGACTCAAGTCGACCATATCACTACAACGTCATCATCTAACGCTCTATAAAAAATATTAATCACAAATATACTTAACTTAGGAATCTAGCAAAACTTAACTATAAGAGTAAGAAGAAAGTAAACAAAACGAGACATAATCAAAAATGGTATTAATTAGGTAACAAATACTTCTCTGTCCCAGAATACTTGGTAAGAACGGAAAAATTTCCTAACACCTTAACTAATACTAATTCTACTCTAATCCTAATCATAATCCTATATTAACCCTAATACTAAATTATCCGGCAAATAAATTCGGCTACCACTTTTTCTGGGCGACGCTATGTAAGTCGTGCATCTAAGCCGTGATCATTGAAGAAAATAATAAAAAGAGGTTGGTCATAAGAAATTATTATTCTATTGGACTGGAATAAAATATTATAGATGCTTTGTTCTATATTAAATAGAAAATTCTTTAACTAAAGGAATTGCTATTTTACTAAAAATCATCGCAGATTTTATTAAAATTTCAGTTTTTTTTTTTTATTTCCAGAAAAGTCATGTCTATTCTTCGATTTTAATTTAATTGATCATTTGTATTGCAATAATAATAAAAAAAAGGTTGGCAATCGACCTTCAGACTGTTGCATGCTTAACGGTTTAACATTATTAAGTTAAACTCAGGTTTGCTTGTTAGCCCTTAATTTAGTGCGTAAAAAAGGAGACTTTGCTTTCGTAGGAGGTTTATCATAATACGAAATAGACTATAACAGAAAAAAATTTTTTAGTTAATTTAAAAATTCGGACACTTATCAAGTTTTATGCCATCGCTTTTTACCTTCATCGTTACAGGCTTTGATTTGAATCTGTCCGGGGTTTTCTCCATAAATTGTTGCACTCGTTCCGCCAATGAAATAAACGGTGATTTTGGCGAATGTTTATTGACCACTCGGTTTCCCACGTGAAATCTGAAGGGTTTGGGAATTGTCAAAATCGTTTTGACGGGTTGACGTTTCTTAAATAATCGTAAATAAGAGGGTTAAATAATATCTCAATAACATGATTCGAGCAAGTAGCACATTCATACCTGAATCCCATGAGATTTACGCGTAGGATAATTTTTAACATTTGGTCTACGTGGTTTATCCAAACGTTTAGAAAAATTAAATTCTTTTGGAATAGTAACCGTTGAATCTGTGCCGGATTTTTTTACAGGTTGCTGTTTCTTAAAATAGATAATGATTAGGGAATTATAATGAAACAATTGATTCATGCAAGTCGCGAAATTATTCATACCTGAACCCTTTGAGATTTATTCATAGGATTATTTCTTTTAGCATGTGGTTTATCAAGACATTTAGAAGTCTTAAATCTTTTTGGAGGAACCTTCAGACCTATGCCGGTTTTTTTAACAGGTTGCCGTTTCTTAAAAAGCATAGATCAATGGGGGTGAGTATTCTATTAACCATTAATGAATTCGTCCCAGTAAATGAGAAGATTCATACCTGAATCCTTTGAGAATGATTTGTAGGATGATTCTTAACTTGTTGTTTATCAAAACGTTTGGAAAAATTAAATTCTTTTGGAATTGTGACTTGCTTGGTTTGAGCCGTAGCAGTAGTATTCTTAATAGCTTTGTTTGCTACTTTTTTTTTAGCTGGCGGGGCGTTTACACGGATTTTGATGGATTTATCGGCTCCAAATTTTACATTAAGATTGTTTTCAAGAAAATTTATTTTCTTTTGTTCTCTCAAAGGACTCTTTGTAGTGAGCTTTTCTATTATATTTATTTTAACCTCCCTTGAATTAACATTAGGATCGAATGGACCAGTTAATTTATTAGGCAAAACCTCATCTAGTATCGATGTGAATGAAAGTTTCCTTGACGGTGTATAAAGTGTTTGCCTTCCAATCGTGGGACTTGTCAATCTTTTTGCAGAACCTAGAAACATCATAAAACGTGCGATTTAAATCAATAATTCATGAAATTTTGTATACATAGATAAGAATGAAAGATTTGAATCATACCAAAAAAAGAATCTCCTTCACCAAGAGTTAAATCATTGATAAAATCCTTATAATGCGGTGCTACGAAAGAAAATGTTTTTGAAGTGCCCGATGAGCCCGGACCTGAACGGAACAAGGGAGGTGGTGTCTCTGCTTTTTGACTCGTTTTCAAGATACTTTTGAACTTATACTGATTATGTTCCATTGTGCTAAAAGCGCGTAACGTTAATAACTTTTACTGTTGAAGTGTAAATAATTGTTATTTATGAAACTGGTTAAATGTAACTATTTACTTACAACACTAACGTTGACTCATTAAAATAAAACAAAGGAATAAATCCCAATAAAATGAATTAAGGAAAACGCGAATTTATCATTGCAAATGAGTCACGTGATTTAAATAATAAAATTACCATTTTAAGAAGTCTGTGTACCATTTTATTATTATATAATTTTTTTTGACAAATTACGCGGCATATCGATTAAAGGTACCTCTAACTAAATAACTTTCAGTAACATTCTTATCTTTTTTCTGCGAATAAATAGACTGAATGGCTTTAGACTGTTTGTTTTTAGAAGAGGCGTTAACCAAATGTTCTTGAACTTTTTGGTTAACAACAGCTGTAACACTATTACCACCAATTCCACTATGAGTACTTGGGCTGCTACTACTAGCAGTAACACCAACTTCTAATTCGATTGCTGGTTTCTTTGATATTGATTGCTCGCCATTATCTTCTCTTTTTCTCTTGTTACGTGAAGCAGATGATGAAGATTCAGCTATGACATTATCTTCGGCGGATTCTTGTCGTAACAAAGCCTTGTTTTTCTTCTTTTCTTTCTTTTCTTTCTCTATTGTTTTTTTCTCCACTAAAGCGACCCTTAACTGCTCTTGTTCAGCAGGATTTGGATTTATAGTAATAATATTTTCTTGTTTAAAAGATTTATTGCACTATAATTCAAAAAGTATAAGATTAATATATCTTGATCACAAAAAAAAAAAAATTGTTTTAAAAGTATCAAATTTTTTGTATACCTGTATACAAGTAGAACTAGGTACTTCTTTTAAACCTTGCTCGGAAAATACACAACCGCAAGTTTCCAAATAAACGAATTTCAATTTTCCGTTCATTTCTTTCATAGTGATAGGGCAAATAAATCTAGATACCATTCCTTGATCGAAATGTGCTATACTAGCTTCATTTGAATCTTTAAAAGCTGGATTTGCCGCTAATTTTAATGTTTTTACATCCTATACATTATAGAGTTGTTTTTTTTTTTTTTAATTATCAATGCACAAGCGTAATCACAAAAAAAAAGAAAGAAACATCTTAAATACCTTCATGGTTGAGATGTGAGAACAAATAGTATCACCATCACCATAAGCATTTTTATTTAATAAATATTCTATAACAGCATCTTTATTATATAATTTACCTAATCCACACACAACGACAGGATCTTGTAACGGCCTCTATAAAAGGGTTACAGACAAGTTAGATCTAATCTAATTACAAATTGACGATCTTTATTTAAAACAACCGAAACCTTAAAGAAAACAAAGAAATTACTTAAATACCTTGGATAGAGCACAAAAAAACCAAGTAGCTATTTTCAATGCATTTTGATCTGGTCTAACTTCTTTTTGTTTTTCTTTAACAAGCTCAATACGTTTTGGAATTGAACCTCCATCGTTTCCCATTGTTATATAGTTATTTTAATAAAAACGGATTTGAAAAAGGAAAGTCAATACTGATCTCTGAAAATCTAATCGAAAGATTTTTTTTAACGAGAGAAATTGATTATATTTTCACATACAATGAAAAAAGATTTTATTTATAAAAAAAAAAAAATTACATGATCAGGTCTCATGTGACTTAACGAATACTTGATTAGACGTTATTATAACTTCGCCTAATGTCGCACAGAAGTTATCTGCGCGCAGTTAAAAATTTTTTCCAATTTTTATTTTTATTTGCATGATTCAATGCTATATATGGTTAGTTGTTGCAATTGTCTTTCTTATCAAAAATATAAATATATTGGTGAGAAGTTATGTTTAAGGTAATTAAATAAAATTCATGATATCTATCTCGTCCGGAGATTGCTTGAAAAAGAAGCTGTGAAATTCTCGAGGATCTTTTTTAATGTGAACGTTTACTTGATGATCACGCATTTATAATCTGTATTATTTATCAATTATCTAGAGGACCGGGTGATAAAGGAATTGATATCAAAGGAGTTATTCTAGGGATCCCACTTGTTATTCAATGTAAAAAATGGATCCGAAATATTATACATCAATATATTATTATATAAATCATTAAGTTAAATTTCAATTAATTAATATCAAACATTAAATAGGTCGCCCGGTTATTAATGAATACTTGGACAATGGAGAGATACGATAGGTGCTGCATTCAAGAAATAGTTTCACGCCTGAGCGATAGAAACGGCCAAAACCTCGATATACGAAATTAACCTCACGGATAAGATAAGATTTATTAGATGTAGTCTAAATTCAATTTTCTTGTACATATTTTTTACTTTCTTTTATTTTTAACTATTTTTTATATTAATATTTTCATCTTTCTTGTTATATAAATAATACATTTCTTATTCAAAAAAATAATTTTCAACACGATAAGCTTATTTATGTAATAGTTTTATCTAAAGATCACTATCATCTAAAAATGGTCTTTGTTATATATTTTATCTACAGTTCCTTCTCCTATATTTCTAATTGTTCTTGATTCGTGTATTTGCATTAGTTGGTCAACATAATATCCTCATTCACAATGTTAAGGATGCAAAATCTCTAAACGGATATTTTTTCCATAAATCGTTAACGTATCATATTATTCACTGGATGTCTGTCTAGATTTTTTATAACTTTTATAACATATCATAGAATAAAAATTTCAAAAGCTCCACCAAGATCACTAATACAGCGTTGGAAAGTTTTGTTGTTAGAATCAATGTAATTTGCCAGACCTTTTTCAGAACTTTCCATAAATGATCCACTGTTATCCGTCTCTTCATTCAAAAGAAGACAGAGAGATAGGCATAGCAAATCATATATCGATTCTCTTAAATATGTCCTTAAGAGAACCTTGAGTGGTTCCGACCAAGATTGTTACATAAAATATGTTTCCTTGAATGCAACTTAAACTCTCAACAGCATGTTACTGTGTCACGAACTGTAGGTACTCTTGCTCATAATGCCAAGGATTAATATCATCATAATATCCATGATAACAGCAACAATTGCATTTTCAATTTTTAAGAATTCTAATTTACACATTCATTCCCAAATCGAATTCTAGTCCTATGAGGGTAGTTGAGACCTAATGGGATATCAAGATGAGTTGGATACTTCAATTCGAGCTAATTATACTCTATAACTCGGATCTCTAGTCCTAACACATTAATAGGAAAAAAAAAAAAGAAATAGACAAATATTCAAGTTTACTGTACCTTGTATAAAGCTTCGTGAAAGGACCTGCTTTAATGCGATCCGAACAAAATTAACATTTTGATACTGCAAAATTTCTGGTTGTTAGTGGCGAACTGCTTCAGTTGGAGGTTGGTAATCATTTGGAAAAAATATTATCAGCTGTTTCCAAATCATCGTGTTCATTTGTATATGTCAACTTCCTCACAAAATTTTCATTAAGTGTATTCAACTTCTTTTCTTTGTATACATTCTCCGTATCAAGTCTTGAAATGATCGATGATATGTTTGCTAATAAAGGCTTCATGTTATCGATGAAGTAATTTCAATCGAAAGCGCGCTATCTAGAACGAAAATATTTCTAGGTTGAAAGAGCGTTTTATATATAAATGGATAAAGTACGTTTGATTATTGAATTTAATCGGCATGTATAATTACTGTTTCTATAATGTGTTACGATAATTCAATGTCAAAACCTGCATGTATAGTCGATCCGTAGTTGTGGGAAATAATGTAATGAATCAGGTATAGGTCTTGTTTGTGCATTTGCAAAACAACACAAGCTAGGATCAAGGCACTCGAAAAACCTGAGAGTTTTCTTCGATGAATCTTTTAAAAGATTTTCTTTGATTAATTGATTTTGAGATATATTATGCAAACAAGGACTTTTTAATATAAAGACAGTTTTTTTATAATACAAATACAAATTTTTTTTAAAAAATGGTACATAATAAATCATCCATTAATTTATTAAATATATTGAACTTCAAAAAAATTGGTATTTGAAGTTATCATATTTACATTAATAGCTAAATTGTTATTGAAGTAAACATTCATATATATATATATTTTTATTAAAAAAGCAGTTCCTAAACTATCTGAATAATTCTAAGAAATTATTAATCTTGGTGACAGCAAATCGACCCGCAGATGCTAAGACATTGATATGCCCTAGTAACGGATCAAAAACATTTTCCCATGATGTTTATGATGCATTTTCAATATTAGGGCTCATACTAATAAATTTTAGTATTAAAATTGTATAATTTGGTTAGAGCCATTCGAGTTATCAATCCAAGATGAAGTCATACATTTAATGGCTTGCTCCATAAGGAAAGTTACAACCGGAACAGCACATTGTCGTTCGGTTATATAGGGTTAGAACTTGATCACCACTTAAAAAATTTGATGTGCGACGTGAATCTTTTCTAAACATTTAATGGCCTTTTTCAATTTCCACCCTCCGGATATTCCGATCTGTGTAAAACCCATTGTTGTTTGAATGCAAACCTTAAAGTGACTTAATGTACGCCTTTACCGGAAATGAGCTTAAAACGGGTGTAACCCTTCGAATTTATTACTTTATCTGTATTTTAATTGAATGGATCCATTAAGGAAATTTTTGAAACTTTTCAGAACAAATTTTTTTTTTCCAAAATACTATTTTGAGATTTGTTTGTAAAACGAAATATAAAGGTCGTGTCTATGTTTAATGTACATTGATGGAAATACACAATTGCGTCAAAACCTTTTCTTTCGCGATGTTGATTCCTTGAGTTATGTGTAAGTGCCCATATAAAAAAGATTTTTTTTTTAAAAATAAAAAAAAAATGATCAACTAAAAAATCTTTCCACATCAATTGATCTTTTTTCATTATTGATAATCCCAATAAAAATAAATTTTTGTGCATTTATTTTTCTTAACAATATGACAACAAATATAAATAATACACAATACTAAAATTAAACAGAAAGTTTCTACTTGTGAAACAATATGCATCTGACCATCTATTCATCTATTTATATAAAGGGTATTCACTTTTTGGGTCGTCATTTTCTTTCGCGAATAAATTTTTTTTTTTTTTTTTTTCCTTTTTTTTCACTTACCTTTTTTTTTTTTTTTCTTTGTAATTAATATGATTTGAAATTTTCTTTATTTATTTAAAGAAAGTCAAATATATTCAAGTCATATTTTTGTATATATATATATATATATATAAAAAAAAAAAATAAAAATAAAAATAAAAAAAATTATTCAACATATCTTGCGCCAAATTCTCTTTTTTATTTTTTATTTGAACTTCAAATTTATTTTTTTTTAACAGTATTTTTTTTTTTATTTTTCACCCTGAAGAAAATAATTTAAACACGTTTCTTTAAAAAATTAACCGCCTTTAATTTATTTCTTTAACCTAAAAAATAAAAAAACAAAAGTGAGAATTCGAGCAAGTATGCGTAAAGCATTTGCATTTTTATCTTCTTTATCAAGTAAAAAACAGTCTTCTTCGAAAAAAACAAAAGCTTCTACACAAGACACCTCGTCTAAGACACAAAAAACTAATAAGAAATCACAAAAAACCAACTCAAAAAATCAAAAATCATCACAAAGTATACCTTATAATAACGTAAACGTAACTTCTACAAAAAATCATAATAATGATTTAGATAAAAAATTTAGAAAAAATAACTCTAATGATTTAAAAAAATCAGCACCAGAGTTAAAAAGGTTGGATCCTATCACTGAATTAAAAAGACAACATTTACAAAGAAAAACATCAGATAGATCAACCAATTCCGTTACCATATCTACTTTATCAAATCGCCGGAGAAAATCGCTTGTAATATTAAAAGATAGTGATATTGATAGTGAGAGTACAAGCGAGGATAATGATGATACCGATGAGGAAGAAAGCGATGATGAGGAAGAAAACGATGAGGATGAGGATGAGGATGACATTCCACTGGGATTAAGGCATACGAATATCACGAAAAATAAGCCCCCAACTTCACGTGGAAATCAAGAACATTTTGATGAAGTTCGAATTAAAAATACTTCAAGTATGTTATTGAACCAAAATCGATCGATGACCCCGGATTATCCTCCTCGACGTTTACAATATTCTCCTCCTGCGGCAAAAACCCCGCCTTTAGTACATACTCCACGTGAATTTTTAAAAGAACCTAGACCTCGTTATCTTGAAGAGCGAAGATTCTCATCCTCGGCTTCATCGTCATCATCGGCGAGTGGAGATAGTAGTGGCAGTAGATATCATAGAGATAATAATGTCTCGCATTATCGTAATGTAAAATCGAATAATTATATTCAAAGGAATAATACTTATTCAACTTATTTAAATGAATACGAATATGATGATTTTTATCATAATGGACATTATTATGATGATGAATTGTATGATGATTATGATGAACATCGTATAATATGTTTTCCAAGTGGTGGCATTCCACATGCCCCAAATTTCCCACTGACTGAAAGAATTCGCCGAGTAAATTCAATTAAATCAAATCATTCAAGAAGTTCCTCCATAAAAAGTGATTCTAATAGGTTGGTTGCTGGTGCTAATCCTCCTCCTTCTAATAGAAATCAAAAGGCTATTAAAAGGATGTCAATGAATGAATATCATAAATATCAACGAGAGATGGTTTCTGCTCAATATTTAAAACATGGAATTAATCCTGTTATTGATGAATATATTCCTGTTAATTTGGAACCTAATCCGTCTCGAATGGGATCTACTCAAAGAGATTTCGTAAATCCAACTTCAACTAGGCTTAAAAAACGTCTCAGTGTAAATGATAGAAGTTGTCCTCCACCACTTGGACAAGTAAGAAATACTTCTTACACAAAAAACCGCTAGTAGTGAATTTAATGATTACCGTAGAACAACTTCAGAATCTAATATACAACCACCAATAAATCCTAGATTTTCTAAATATCATCTTACTCCACTTCATTTACATCATCATTCTGTTAACTCACTTTCCTCTTCAAGTGGTAGTGGTGGACCACCTACCCCATCTTCTCCTACAAGTAGAAGGTCTAGTGTGATGTTTGGTTCTAACTTTGATGGTAGTAGACCAAGTACTCCTTCTTCTGTTGGTAATGGCTTTACTTTCGAAAAAGAAAAAAGAAGAAGCAGAATTTATAAGTGAAAAAATACAAAAGTTATTTAATTAGCGAGAGGAATACTATTGAGAAATTATTCGACTAGAATGAAAAATGAAAAAATGGAATAAAGATTTAAGATTTATAGCATTATTATTCATAGTATACTTCTTTTTGAAAATGATTCACTTTATTCTTTTAATAAGTGATGTATTCGAATTTCAATTGTATTTGTTTGGACTTTTGGATTTTTTTTATTTTATTTTTTTGTACAATTAATTTTCATTTATTTCCTTGTATACGATTTACGATTATTTATTAAAAAAAAAAAAAAAAAAATCTTTTTTGTTTAAATAATAAAAAGCAATTAATAATTTATTATTTGATCTTTCAAATTGTACTCTTCGCAATTAAACTATCGGAAAATCAAAAATCAAATAATATATTATTAAATATGTTTTTCGGACCAAAAATTTCATTAATTCACTTTATTTTTTGTTTGCCTTTCTTTCTATTGCAAAGGAACCAGAGACTACTTGCTAATTACTAAAATATTA